TTTAACCAAAAATTCCCAAAGAGCATCCATGCTGTTTTTGTATCTGAAATGAAAGTTACAATTCCTGCAAAGTACCACACATACCAGTGGTGTTTTATGAAACTACCAGCGAGATGGCCAGGAGAAGATCCCCAATTGTTAGCTGGGCTGTAGACCTCCCTGTTGACCTCATTCCCTCTCCTTACCTAGGCTTCCTATCACAGTCCCATAAGCATCTGTCAGAGAACATCTTTCCACACTTTTTCCTCAAATTACTTCATCACAAATCAGTTGCTTTACTTATACATAGCATCTTGATTCTTTTAAAAATTATTAATGTATTTGAAGCAGGGTGGTGTGTGGAGGTGAGAAGACAATTTGCTGGAGTCTGTTCTCTCCTTCCACCCTGCAGGTTCTAGGAATCGTGCCCAGGTTTTCAGACTGGCATCGAACACTTGCCCGCTGAGCCATCTCACTGATCCTTTGTAGCATTTTAAATATAGATTAAAATAAAGCAAATAATGTCTTTTTCCCCCTGCATGTCTTTTCTTACCAATGGAAGACAGTTACCATGGAACCTGAAGTAATCTCAGGGGAATTCGCATTTGTCCGTGTTCCTTTATCTGTGCTTATGGATGGGGGGATTCTACCTCTGGGCAGTAGGATGATGGACCGCCTGGTGGAAACTCCTAATCCAAACTCTGTGAATCCTTAAAGCTTATTTCATAACAATTCTCAGACAGCTTTTGCCTAGTATATGCATTTATCTATAACTTTTTATCCTACCTCAAAATCTTCTATCATGAGTTAATCCTGATGATTTGAAAAGCTGATTTTTTTTTTTTTGCAAAATATTTTGTTCATAATCACTTAACTTGACTGATATAACTGCTACTGGTGATATATCGCAATGAAGCTATGGAGGCCTGAACTTTTAGCTGACTAGCTAAATGCAACATTTCCCTCTAGCCCTAATTGGTACCTCATGACAAAAATTGGGTAGGAGCTACGTACAGTCTATGTTGGGAGGCTGTCCTGTAGAAGAAAATAGCTTTTAAGCAGTTTTTCTCTTCAGTGGTGTAACTGGAAGGAAGTGAAAATGACTGCTTTAAAATAGCGTGCCATTCACTGTGCCCAGATGAAATATCCTGGCATATTATTTTTTCCTTTCATACAAAACAAAACAAACAACATAAAACCACCAGACAATTTAACTAATGAATTAAGGATTAAAAAAAAAAACCATTAATGTAACCTTAAATTTAAATGATTTCTTCATAAGCTATTAACAGTAGAATCATATGATTAATCACAGTGCACAGCATTGCTTAGAAATGTTACAGCCGTGTGTGTGTGTGTGTGTGTGTGTGTGTGTGTGTGTGTGTGTGTAATAGAAGAGCATCAGGAAGAAACCTCACAATCAATCCAGATCAACCAGCAGAGTAAATGTCATGTGATGAAATGAGTTCACCCAGCATCCCTTCTGCACCCAGCTACTCTACAAGGAAGAAATTGCAAATTACTATCATTTATTTCATTTTTCTCCTTGTCTGGCAGCTAGAGTGTTCCTCTCGTGGACAAGATGCCTAGCAGAGGCTCACCACAAAACACTGTTAAAACAGGTGCTCCACTCAGATTTATAGCCAGTTTATTTTCTTTAATAATCATAGGGTAATTAATTTGACTTTTGTTCCCTTAATTAGCGATCTCTTTGCCATGCTGTTGCATGCTTATTTTTGGGTTGGTCTCTAAATATACTTGAATGTTATCCAGTTACCAGATGTTAAATCAGATCATCGAACCCATTTTTAAGCAGTTAACGATTAGCTTCTAAAACCAGTTTTATATCTCTGATCCAATTACTGTGAACACAGAAGAAACATGGTGATACATTTTCAAAGAAAGTGTGTGTTCTAGCTGGAATATCACAGAAAGGGTCGCATGGGAGAGTAAAAGGACACCTTTGAAGTAATCCCCATTTTTCCCATGTCTGCTCCCATTAGTTGTTTGGAAGGTATATCTAATGCTTTGCAAGTGTTTCTTGTTTCACCTCTTGGAGTCCTCAGTTACCTCACTCATTTAATTTCTGTTTACTTTCATCTTTGAAATAATATTGGGTTATCAAATCTTCAGTTGGACTGGTTAATTCAAAAATTATTTTCAAGCAATATTTTTATTATAATAAATCATTCAATATATAAATCAATAACTTAAACTAATGATGGATAGTATAACAGTTTTCCATCACAAGGATAATTATTATTATTATTATTATTATTATTATTATTATTATTATTATTATTATTATTATTATTTTTATTTTTGTTTTGTTTTATCAAGACAGGGTTTCTCGGCATAGTTTTAGTGCCTGTCCTGGATCTTGCTCTGTAGACAAGGCTGGCCTGGAGCTCACAGAGATCCGCCTGACTCTGCCTACCAAGTACTGGGATTAAAGGTGTGCATTACTGCCGCCTGGCTACAAGGACAATTTTTAATCTGTGTCTGATTTCTTTATTGTTAGTCCCTTTATTTTTAAGGTACTAAGAATAGAACCCATGCGTTTTTACGCATGCCAGACAGCAATTTTATCTTTTTATTATTTGTGGGGAACTTGTTATGCTTCCAGCATTGTCCATGATCCTGATGATGCCTACTCCAGCAAACTACAGCCAGCAAGGACAGATTCAACAGACACCTGTTTGTGTGATGTTTCATTTCCATTTGTTTAGTTATTTTTGTATTAATAAACAATGAAATTGAGTAGTTGCCACAGACTCACTAGCTTAAAATACATGTCTGAAAAGGTTTCGCCAAATCCTGGTCTACTATATTACTATGCCATTTATAAATCAATATTCAAATGATGAGTCTGAAAAGATTTTGCCAAATCCTGGTCTACCATATTACTATGCTGTTTATAAATCAATATTCAAATGATGAGCCTCATCGCCACAATAAAATTCAACGGTTCTTTATGCTAAATTTACCTATAAAATGCTCTGCTCCACTTTAGAAAGTTTCTAAATAATGATTGAAACAAAGAGAAACCGAGATATCCTCGATTAAGCAGAACACTTAATTAGGCCGGATAATGTTTTCCATCGTAAAACAGAAGTTAGCTTGTGCATATTTAGAGCTGATGTGATGGATGCAGGTGGCAGGAGGAGCTTGGTTACATTAACTCCGCACTTCACAACTTAATGTGCATATGAATCACCTGGGAGCCTTGTTAGCAAGCAGATGCCACCCCAAAGGGATTTGGAGGAGGGGCGAGGAGTTCTGTGTGTCTGAGGAGCCCCTGGGTGATGCTAATGTTGCTAGTCGGTGGAACAGATTCTGGGTACCAAGGATAGAACATACAGCCAGCTTCACGCCAAAGACGACACAGAATGGAAGACACAGAATGCAAGACAAAAATGAAGAAGAGACAAGGCCCAGAGCCTATTGAGTCCTATCCCCTACTCCTGTACCTCAGAAAAGCTTCATAGGAAAAAAAAAATTGATATCTCTCCTTAGGGCTGTGAAATTTTGAGTTAAAACCTAAGGCAAATGAATTAGGAAATGCCGGACTAAATGCTGCCAAAGGCAGCACTTTAAAAATCGTGCATAAAACTGTTGTATTGTTCTTCTGTTCTGGGTGCTGTAGCTGAGGCCCCTCTCACAGTAGTGTAGGTGTGTGCAACACTGAGTAAGCTCCATGCCGAGGCCGCCCTTCTCTCCTTAAGCCAGGCTCTTGCTAAACTGACCTGGCTGGCCTTGAACAAACAAACCTCTTCTCCCATTCTTCTGAAGAACTGGAATTTCAAGCCTGAACTACCAGGGCCATCAGAAAAGTACATACAAACTGTGTATTTATGCGTGCACATTTCCATAAGCACCTTTCCGTTTATGTCTGCTAATACCCTTAACCTCATTTTCTTTCTCCCTTAAATGTAATACTATTTGTGGCATCCCCTTCCGTTTTGACATCTCTTGACTTCTCTGCAGCTGTATGGATTCTTAGCTTCTCTGGACGTTATAGATTTAAAGGGAGGGTGTGGGGAACAAAAGCCCGGCCCTTCAGGCTTTCCTATTCCCGATTTGGTGTGAGCCATCTTTCTAAAATATTAGTATCACCTACTGGCCACTCTGAAGAGAGAAACAACAAAATCATACTGGTGAAATATTTAGCGATAAAACTATTTAATAATATTTAATGGTGGCGAAATATTTAATGATGATAATATTTAATGATCATGCTGTCCATAGTGATGCCTCTAGCTACTTTCGTATCACACATAGCTGCTATATGAACATCCATATCTGCGCTTAAGTTCTATGCCAACAGATATTTTTAAAGTAATATGTTTAATCATATCTTTTATAAAGTTTAAGTCCATTTACACCACAAGTGAACGGTCGTATCCTCTGAACATTTCAATTAGGTACGCTGCTTGAAGTATCATTATAGAAACAAATACTGCAAAATTTAGTCTTGGAAACCATGGAAAAAGGAAAATACTCCTAATTTTTAGGTATTGAAGACAGTTATTATTATTGTTATCGTTAGAAATTTCCCACCATGTGAAAAGCAGACTATTTTACTGTGAAGAGAATTTTTGAAAGCAGGGATGTTATGCAGAGGTCCTGGTCTTGTTACAGCGGTTGCATTTGTTATCTTTTGGCGCTGAGGCTGGAACCCACTTTGCCCATGCTAAGTACATCGTCTACAACTTATGTAAATTCCCGTGTTCTTCTTTCATTGCCGTGATCACTTTTATTCTGAACTGGTCACTTTATATGTGTTACGTACAACATACAAGATATGGAAACTTAAAAATTATAATGAAACTTTTTTTTTCCAAAGAAGAAATTGCATATATAGCTGAAGGACAAGATCACCTCCTGGTCTTTGTTCACTGTGTGCAGACATGACCTCCAAACATTCTGGGTTTTAATTGTAGAGCTGAAAGTCCCCTCTGCTAAGCTTTGTTAAATTCACATTTCTGCTCTTCCAAGCTGCTTGTTTCTTAAGAAAATGTTATTGTGAGTAACATAGTAATCTTGATCAAAGAAAGGCGTAGAAAATTGTTTTGAAGTGGACAATAGATGGTCTCAAGATGGCCTCCTCAGTGCAGTGAGAATTTCTGCAGATGAGAAAATAATTAGAGATGATTGTATTCCAGCTTGCTTTGTGAGATAGGGTCCAGGTAGACTTGAGAATATCTTAGAGGAAACAGAAGCGAATGTATATGCTGTAATATATGGTAAGGGGAAGAATGGAATATCAGAAGTGAAAATTTAAGAAAATCCAATAGACCACATAGAAATTCACCTTTTTCTTTTTTCTTCCTGAAATTTAAGGTTTGTGCCTTTGAGATCTAATGAGTTTCAAAATCAATTAGAATTGCCTGAAAACCCATTAAGAGCATAATAACCTAGAGTTGCCTCTTCTATAGGTGGAAAACTAAATGGATGGGGCCGGGTGGTATGAGTGACCCTTTTAGTGCTGCTGGGCAACCGTTATTGTGTGACCTGTCATTACAGTGAACTCCAAACCCGGACAGCGGATGACGCTCCCTCTGTAAATGCTGGCACCCCTCGGTGTAAGAAGCACCACCGCCCCTGTGTTCTCCGAGTTGTGAGGAAGAACGGAGAAAACAAGGGGAGGCAGTTTTATGCCTGCCCTCTACCCAGAGAAGCACAGTGCGGATTTTTTCAAGTATGTGTAAAATTTCCCGTGCGTACTGTACCTCAAGTGAATTTTGTTTATTGTAATGTGACAAATATCAGTGCTTGCAGCTTTACTTATACATTCATTTATTTATTTACTTGCTTGCTTATTTATTTGAGACAGGAACCGCCCAAGTTCTAGGATTGCATTTACACACCACTCTACCTAGCTTTTCCTTTTCATTTTAAATGGCCATATTAGTATTCAGTGTAAAGCATGGGTGTTAAATAACTTAAAATAATAGTATTGTTCAGCAAATAATATTAATGCTAGAATAGCTATTGGATTAATAGGGAGTTTCATATTTGTAATTACAAGTGTATCAATGTTGTTCTTGATTCATAATGATAGGTAGGAAAGTACTGAGGCCAGATGTGGTGATTCACATCTGTATTCCAAGTACTGTGCAAGTTGAAACAAGAGGGTCTTGAGTTTGAGACCAGACTAGTATAATGAATTCCAGACTAGCCTGGATTGGGAAATCCTATAGCAAAAAGGAAGAAAGGAAGGAAGGCAGGCAGGAATGAAGGAAGGAAGGAAGGAAGGAAGGCATTAAGTCACTAAGAAATACTAAATAAGAATTCTTTAAAATCCCATGACTTATGAATTAGAGAGAGTACACGAGACAAGTCAGCATACATGGCAATAATCGCCTTGGGTTTACAATAACCTTAGTGAATTCTACTCTAAGTGTAACCTGGGGGTGGGGCGTGTGTGTAGAGGAGATAGGAATGACAGCCTGTGATAATCCAGCCCCAGGTGAGTCTTCGTATCTGGTGCAGGAGACAGGCATGTGTGTCCCTTCAGCCAGTCTCCCTGTCTGTTTTCCCCCGAGTGCACCATTCTCAACATTGTGATAATGTTATTCTGGTGATTAAAGACACGCGTTTCCCTAGTTTATACTCCTTATGACACCTAGTAGAAAAAGGAAAATGTTGATCCGTGTCTGTGCTGGAGCAGAACATTGCTGGTTCGTCTTATTGGGAAATAAGACACTGGTCTGTCTGTCTGGTGTGCGAACTTTCTTAAGGACTTTCCCAGGTTAAATTCGATGATTTTAGGTCCTACACCTAAGATATGCTTCTGTCATACTAGATTCGTAGATTTCCTGAAGAAGCATTTTAAATGTAATGGAAAATGGTGTTAGTAATTTTATAATGCTGATACTATCACAGCCTCCTTCATTCCTCTCTTGAGACCAAATAATGAGGAGTAGAGTGGCTTTTGCTTAATTTAGTCTGGGCAAGTACCTGCTGGGGTCTTCCTATTTCTAGGAGGCTAATGGGATGTAGTATTACAGTTATAACAAATATTTGATAATATTTTAACTAGAACAGATATATAGCCAGGACACTGGTGATAGCTTAATATCAAGATTCTGATAGTTCTCAGTTACTCTGAATAAAGGGAGGAAATTTTTATATGCTTTTAGATAAAGTGAAGTTTGATATTAGGACAACTTAGTGTGTGATTCAAGCAAATTTATAAATAAAATGCTTCTTATAGAATCTGACATTTAAAAAGTGCAGCAACTGCTGGGCAGTGGTGGCGTACGCCTTTAATCCCAGCACTTGGGAGGGAGAGGCAGGTGGATCTCTGTGAGTTCAAGGCCAGCCTGGTCTACAGAGTGAGGTCCAGGACAGGCTCCAAACCTACAGAGAAACCCTGTCTCAAACAAACCAAAACAAAACAAAAAGTGCAGCAACTAATAGTTCACATCTATTTCACACTGTCACATTTTAGTCACAGCAGTGAAATTAGTATCACATCAGACTGTCTGTGCCCATCGTAACCTCATGCATTCCTTATACCCTGTCTTCTGTCTTCTTCTCCCTTAGTGGGCAGACTTATCCTTCCCATTGTGCAGACATGGCAAGCGCTCCATTATGAGAACTGTGCTGAAGATTGGACCTAATAATGGGAAGAAGTTTTTTGTATGCCCTTTTGAAAAAGAAAAGCAGTGCAATTTTTTCCAGTGGGCAGAAAGTGGACCGGGAGTGGAAATCATTCCAGGATGTTAATATTTTCACTTTTTAAAGAATGTCTGCCATATCAGTTTGTCAAACTCACAATGTTCAGTCCCTGTTGTTTAGTAGAAAGCTTATAGAAAGCCTATGGCACATATGAGTTAAGATGCTGTAGTATCTGAGAAGTATTGTTGGTTTAAATGTCATCTTCTCACTTCTTTGTCATAATGAACACATTCATTTCACCAGGTGGACAGTACATTCCCTTTAAAGTGTCTATTCAATACGTTTAATAATAATGACAATAAAGTATTTTCAATAAAGTATTGTTTTGGTCTCTCATAACTTCTTCGGTGAGCAGAAATTCCCTTGTTTTTAGGAGATTTTGTAATACATAACATTATAAGATATTCATTCTGTTATAGATATTAAGTTCCTGTTAGATGCTAGAGGTACACTGAAACCTTCAATGATTTTCAGTGTTTTCATAGAAAATTGTAGGAATCTAAACTAATATGATAGAAGTCACATGCAGTGGATTGATGTTTTCCTAATCTTGATTCTAATGTCCTTTGCTACCTTAAAAAGTAAATACATTTCCAAATCTTACTGTATTACTTTAATGATGACCTGAAGTGTTGTCCAAAAGCCTTAATTTTTTTTTTAATTTGGTGTGTGTGTGTGTGTGTGTGTGTGTGTGTGATGCTGATGAAAAAACCTGATCCTTGCTCATGGATTATAACATAAACCTCCATTCCTATGTCATCATTTATTTTTAGTTTTGTTTTAGCACTCCTTTTTGTTTTTTTTTTTTTATTTTAAAGTTAGACCAACTGTGTTTTTCAAGGGGAGAAAAAAAAAACTATCAATCTTAAGGTATTTTTGCATGTTTGTAGAAAAATCCTTCCAGAGAAGGGTCAATGCATTTTTTAAATAGGCAGCAAACCCTTTCTAGTCTACCATTAACTTGTCCATGCAGAACTATTGAAGTTAATAACTCATGAAATGATTGCCAACACCACATCACACTCGTAGCCTTTTATGTGTTAACTCTGTACTGAAAAGGCAAAGATAGAAACAACCTAAGATCAATGATCATTCCCCCAAGAGCTCAATGAGGCAACAAATCTGTGTGACAAAGCAGGAGCCGAACTGGACAACTGGTACTCTCAGCTGGCTTGACATTAAGTAGAGAGTGTGTGCCAGTAATGAAGAAAGAAAGCAAATGATGTGCAGCAGAGAGAAGAAGGGCCACCATCCAACGACTTCCATGATGTTCCAGTCCTAAAACGTACCGCTGAAAATAATACAAATACAATCAAAATATAACCACAATTTACAATAATTACAATAAACTTACATCCTTAGCTAGTAGGAAGTGTGTAGGAGAATTTTACTGAGGAACACCAAAGACTCGGTTGGATAGACAAAACTCACTCCTATTTAGCAAGGCTAAATATTTATAATACACCATTATGATTCCCATCTAAGTTTTGAATTTTAACAAAATTCCCCAATGAGAAGAGAGCTTTTTCTTCCATTTGCCAATAACCTTTGAGTAGCTAACTCTCATAGACAACTAGATCCTGGATAAATTCATCATACTCAATGGTGTAATAGAGAATATAGATTTTTTTTTTTTTAAGGAATGCTTTGTAAGAAGAAGCCACTGGAGGTGATTTCTCATTTCTTACAGCTTCTTTTCCCCCTCTGAGAGCAGAACAAAATCATAGGATTGAGTTGTAGGAACCCCAGTTCATCCATTGTGGCTACCAGAGCCACCAGAAAGTAAAGGCAGTCTCCGAAAGGAGGTATTCAGAGAGGGAGAACCCCTCTGTTCTGTCTTACAGTACTGCCTAATCCATCACATCGTCACTATACCATCCTTCCGTGGGACAGGTAGACCATAGGGCTCATAGTGAAAGATGTTAAGCAAAAGCTCATTGATGCTGAAGCTCAAAGGTCTAAGTAGAGATGGAGGAGAGAAAGGAGATGGGTTAGCCAACACTAAGATTGTAAGCCTCGTGAGAACCCACTGCTGCATAAGCTAATTTAAAAAAAAAATAAAAAAGGAGTATGTACAGAGGTACTCTTCCTGGGTGAACAGTGCTGCTCTCAAAAGACATAGGTTTTTAAGTGTAAATTTCAGTACAAGGTATGGGGTGCCTCTTTCTGAGTTAATTGCTCAAGGAGGTCCCAGTGGCTCCCACAACCATACAGAATATTGCCATTGTTCTTGGTTGCTCACTGTAACTAGATGGTAAGAGGCTGTCACTTACGACACTTTGGTTGCAGGACTTCAAGAAATCAGTTGGAACTGACTAGGGTACTCCCTCCCTACTGGCTAGCTTGCATGGTGATGGGAGGACGTTCTGTGCAGGCTTCTGGAATGGGGAAGAAGTGTCATTAATGGTCTTCTCTAGGTCTGTGACCTGCCAGATAAGATGTGCCCACTGGTGCAATATTGACATGAAGGTTATGGTTATAACCAATCACTTTCTGATTTAGGTATGTTCCACAGGAGATAACTCATGCCTGGTACTAAAAACCTGGCCGAAAGCCCATGGCTACAGAGGTCATAGGCCCTAGGTGGGAACCTACTGTTATTATTTTTCTAAATAGCCATATTGTCAAACGGTCTCCTGAATATTTACAGTTATACCCATAGATAAGTGCTGCTCTTTGCCTTGATCAGAGAAGCTTATTTTTGCAGTAGGCAGCAGTTAATGCAGAAGTTCCTAACTGGTCAAAATACTGAGAATTCATGAATAATAAGACTTCTGTATCAACTCCCCATGTCCTAATGCTCAAGTAACATATGGAAGAGAGAACAGAAAGAGTTTAAGAGTGGAGGTATCTTCTGGACACCCATGATCTCACAGTAGCTGTGGTTATCTGTACAACACCTGCACAAAAATCAAGTGAGTCGGAACTCCATCATAGATGAGGGGCAGAATCTCATGAGGCCCCCACTCCTTATTGAAGAGATATTGGAAGTTGATGGCTGCTGGGAACAGTCAATTTTCTTTTGGGGGTATGACCACTGGTAGATTTTCTGTGCTCCGGTGGGTGACCCCATACTCATACACAACAGGGTAGCAATAATTGGACTCAGTAGGGTATTATAAAAAACAAAAAACAAATAGGAAGTTGGGAGGTTGACATGTTAAAGTCTAGGGATAGTTGGAGAGGGAGATTGGGGGTCTATATGATTAAAATAGATTGCATACATGTATGAAATTCTCAAGGAACAAATTAAAATACATTGATAATTTTTTAAAGATCTGAACCACTAGCCAAGACAGTTTGTAGTCAAATCTCACCAGATGAACTCCCCGCTGAGATGAAAACATCAAAACTGTTTAAAGACAGAGAATCAAGAGCCACATCATATCCACAGTATTCATGGTATAATGCACAGAATGCTATCAAATGAAAGTCAGGGTCTGTATCCATTTCAGAGAAAAACCCATCAGGATCAACTCCAGTATGGTCCAGATATTAGATGGTTTCTAAAAGGGATGTTAAGTCTGTTATTGTAACTGTGGTTGTGAATTTCAAGGAGGAACTATACGAGATGGAAACCCAAATCTTGAAGTAATTCAGGCAACCAATGAAACCCACAAAGCAGACTCAGGGGCTGGGCTTCTGCTGGATCCCAGAGACTGTATGTGCCAGTCTTTCAGTTTAATTTGTGGAAGAAGCTGTGTAGTCTGGCAGTCACCTCCTTGGGTCTGACTGTTGTTTCCTGGTATTTCAAGACAGTATCATCACCAGCACAAGGTATTTTAATGACAGACAAAGAAAGATGAGAAGAAAAGTATGAAGTACGAAGACGACAATAACCTCAAGAGCCATTATTCACTGAATTCTTACTGAAGACAGCTGCTTTCTCGAGCACTTCCTGTGGATAACTTCTTTTATCCTCTCGCCCACCCCGGCAAGTCGATTTTGCTTTTGTTGCTATCGATGTTACCAGTGATTTTCCAAGTCCATGAAACGAAGCCTTGTATAGACTAAATAGGGAAGTGTGTTTCATTAAGTCATAGTTTAAATAAGCTTTACAAAGTGTTAAATCCCATCATCTAAGTGATGTATTCTTTTTGCCCCTTTAAGCAAAAATGACAGTGCCCAGAAATGCATGTTTTATTATAGCTAACAGTCATAAACGACATGAACATAAAAGGAAAGAAACGCACAAATGATAATAATTGCAAGTAGTAAGATGAGATACCGTGGGTTTTATTCTATAAAATTTATAGAATGTGTTACTTCATAATTTTTTAAAAAAAAAGGTTTTTTTTTTTCCGTTACTTTAATTTCTATTTTCCTTGGAAAAATATTTGTTTCATATACTTTTCTAAAGCTTTTTATTAAATTATAACAATCTATACATATTAAAGGTGTTCAATAACACTAAGGCATGATTGAGGAACATCTTATTCAGGACCTTCAAAATAACCATAGAATCAGGGTGTGGTTGTGCATGCCTCTAATTTCAGCAGTTGGGAGGTAGAGGCAGATGGATCTTTATTAGTTTAAGGCTAGCCTAATATACATAGCATGTTCCAGGCCACATGAAGAGACGCTGTCCATGCCCCCCCCCCAAAAAAAAAGTAAATAAAGTATTTAAAAGTGAACAGTGGAGACACTATAACAGATCGGGCTCTGAACTCATCATGGCAACTTAGAATTTATAGCTTCAGAGAAGTGTGGGGAGCAATGGATGGAGAATGACGAAGAAGAAACATCCATAATAAAGAGGATGCCAGCTAAATCAGTCTAACAGGATTCTTAATGAAGACAAGCCAGGGTGGTCAAACAACATCTGGGACTTGGTAGATGATGGGGAACCTGTTCAAATTTGGAACATGAGGCAATTCTGACTAATCTGACAGAATCTTTGCTAAAACAGAAATTTATAAGAAAATGCATAGATGGGTACAGCAGATTCAGACTAACAGCTGATGTTTGGCCCAGTCAAATGTCTTTGTCATCTTACCAATATTTACAAAAATGGTATAGAAATGGTTACAGATCCTGCAAAAGATAAAATCATTTTTCTTTGTATATCTTTGCAGTACCTCATATTTTGACGGATGAGAGGTTAATACTATAGCTGACTCTCTCCTTCTGTCTGTAGTGCTGAACAACTATAGTAAGAGTTAAACCCTCCACATTTCTTAACGTTAACTTCCATAAGAAATTGTACACATTGATAGAAAGCACAGGCCCTGCTTCAAAGAGAATAAAGATAGTTTGACCATGTTACCATGGCCCTGGAACAA